TTCAAGGATTGTTCCAATATTTCTAGAACAATTTAAATAATAGAAACTTTCTTTGTTCCTTTAAGGTTTGAAAATGTTTCCATTTGCCAAATTATTTGGGCCTACATCTTCAGGAGAGGAGACACTTACTACTTATTTTAATGTCATCTGAGGTTATTCTGTTCAAGTTTTTATCCTTTTCTTGAATAATTTTGTTAATGTACATCTTCCTCAAAAACTTTTTCCTTTCATCAAGATATTAAAACTTATTAGACATTCACATGGGTTTTTCTTAGGTTTTTAATCCTTATTTTTGATGATACTGCTTTTTATTTTACAGATGTGCTACACAATTTTTACAAAGTAATCAGAATGTAAATAGTTTCCATGGTGATTGCTTATTTGACCCTTATTTTGAACTATTTTAAACATTTTCTAGTTATATAGTTTCCTTTCGGATACTGATGTCCAATTTAATTCCACTGAGGTTAGACACATATTCTATATGGTATTGATCCTTTGACCATACACCCAGCATATAGTCAATTTTATGGCATGTTTCCCATCTTTTAAAAAGCATGTATATTCTGCACTTAGTGAGTGCATTGCTCTATATCTAGGCCAGTGTTATTAATCACGTGGTTCAAATTTTCTATTTGTTTTAATTTTTTAATTTCCATACTCATTTTTTGCTCATCTTTTACTGCATTGCCAGTTACTGAGAGAAAGGTGTTCTAAAATTTTCCCCATTTAGTTCAGCTAATTTTTGCTTTACATATCATAAGGCTGTATTATTAGGTGCATACAATTTTAGAATTGTTGTGTTCTGATAGCATATTGAATCTCTTCACTTCTAGAATGTTTCTTGCCTTAAATGAACTTAGTCTAATTGTGTAGCCATACCACCTTTCTTGTGGTGGGTGTTTTGGTTTAGTTTCCAATGATTATAAATATAGTTTTTTAAGTTATAATTAACATGCAATATTATATTAGTTTCGGGTATATAACGTAGAAAACAATATTTTTATACATTCTGAAATGATCACAGCATTAAAACCAGCTACCATCCATCACCTTACAAAGTTGTTACAATATTATTGACTATATTCCTTATGTATACATTACATCCCTGTGACTTATTTATTTGATAGGTGGAAGTTTGCACCTCTTAATACCCTTCATCAATTCACATCCACTTCCACCTACGTCCCCTTTGTTTTCTGTATCTATGAGTCTGTTTCTGTTTTGTTTTGTTTGTTCATTTGTTTTGTTTTTTAGACTCTGCATGTAAGTGAGATCATACAATATCTGTTTTTTTTCTGTCTAAGTTATTTCACTTAGCATAGTATCCTCCAGGTCCATCCATATTGCCGCAAATGGCAAGATATATTCTTTTTTCAGCTGACTAATATTCACACACAACACATCTTGTTTATGCATTCATCTGTCAGTGGACACTTAGGTCCCCTTCATATCTTGGGTATTGTAAATGGTGCTGCAGTGAAAGAGGAGTATATGTATATCTCTGAATTAGTGTTTCATTTTTCTTTGGATAAACACCCAGAAATGGAAGTGCTGGATTGTGTGGTACTTCTGTTTTTAGATTTTTGAGGAACTTCCAGATTGTTTTCCATAGTGGCTGCAACAATTTACAATCCCACCAGCAGTGTTTGAGGGTTCATTTTCATGACATCCTCGCAAACGCTTGTTTGTTGTCTTTAGATGATTGTCATTTTGACAGATGTGAGGTGGTATCTCACTGTAGTTTTGATTCACATTTCCCTGATGATTAGTGTTGTTAAGCACCTTTTCATGTGCCTGTTGGCCATCTATATGTCTTCTTTGAAAAATGTCTATTCAGTTCCTTTGCCCGTTTTTTAATCAGGTTGCTTTTATGATTATGAGTTGCACAACTTTTCATATTTTAGACATCAACCCATTATTGGATGTATCATTTGCAAATATCTTCTCCCATTCAGTAGATAGCCTTTTCATTTTATTGGGAGTTCTGCTGTGTGAAAGATTTTTAGTTTGATGTAGGCCTAAGTGTTTATTTTTGCTTTTCTTGCCCTTGTCTGAGAACTATTCTAGTTCTATGAAAAATCCTGTTGATACTTTGATAAGGATTGCACTGAATCTGTAGATTGCTTTGGGTAGTATGGACAGTTTAATGATACTGATTCCTCCAGTCCATGAGGACAGTATATCTTCCCATTCATTAATTTGTTTTCAATTTCTTTCCTCTGTGTCTTATACTTTTAGAGCACAGATCTGTCACCTCCTTGGCTATATTCATTCCTAGATATTCTATGATTTTTGATACAATCATCAATGAGATTGTTTTCTTGATTTCTTTTTCTGATAGTTCATTATTAGTGTATAGAAATGCAACAAATTTCTGTATATTAATTTTGTATCCCACAGCTTTCCTGAATTCATTTACTGGTTCTAATAGCTTTTTGGTGGAGTCTTTGGGGTTTCTATATGTGGTATCATGTCATCTGCATATAGTGACAGTTTACTTCTACCTTTCCAATATAGATACTTTTATTTCTTGTTCTTGTCTGATTGATATGGTTGGAACCTCCATTACTATATTAAATACAAGTGAATGCAAGAGTGGGCATCCTTGTCCTGTTCATGATCTTAGAGGAAATGCTTTCAGCTTTTCACCATGGGATATGATGTTGGCTATGGGTTTGCCATATATGGCCTTTATTATGTTGAGTTATCCCTCTATACCCACTTTGTTGAGAGTTTTTATCATAAATGGATGTTGAATTTTGTCAAATGCTTTTTCTGAATCCATTGAGATGATCATATGATTTTTATCCTTTTTTTGTTAATGTGGTGTGTCACATTAATTTATTTACATATGTTAAACCATCCTTGCATCCCTGGGATAAATCCTACTTGGTCATGGTACATGATCATTTTCATCTGTTGTTGAATTCAGTTTGCTAATATTCTTTGAGGATTTTTGCATCTGTATTCATCAAGGATATTGGCGTATATTTTTTTCTTTTTTTGTGATGTCTTTGATTTTGGTCTTAGGGTAATCCTGGCCTCGAAAAATGAGTTTGTAAGTGTTCCTTTGTCTTCAGTTTTTTGGAATAATTTGAGAAGGATAGGTATTAATCTTTTTAAAATTTTGGGTAGAATTCACCTGTGAAGCCATCTGGACTTGTACTTTTGTTTTAGGGAGTTTTTGGATTACTGTTTAAATTTCCTCACTAGTAATCAATCTGTTCAGATTCTCTATTTCTTCATGATTCATTCTTGGAAGATTGTATGTTTCTAAAAATGTATCCATTTCCTCTAGATTGTCTAATTTGTTGACTTA